AGAATTGATATCCAATTCATTTATTTGCATTAACTTTTATTTTAAGTAATGCATCAGATAATTTTTTTCCCTCAAGATTCGAAATTACGTAAATAACATGATAGATTATTGCAAACAAAACGACACTGTTAAGATAAATTAATGTTATTAAGTGTGAAGTAAATCTACATAGTTAATCAAATAAGAGTTAAACAAATCTTTATCTTACCACGATTGAGATATTGAAATAATAATTTCAATTGTTTCAAACAATGACTTTCTCAAAGAATAATATTTTTACTGAAATGAATCCTGAGAATAGAGTTATTTTTCTTGGGGCAAGAGCTTAATCGCTTACTTAAGTAAGCAATGGAAGAAATAATAAGATTCTTTGCGAAATATTAAAATTTCGCTTAAGTATGAATAATTAGTATAAAGTAAACTCTGTGAAGAAACTAGTTCAAAAAAGTAACAATTATTGTAACGAAATTTAAAAACAAATATAGTAATTTAATTTTCCTGTTTAAATATTTATTACCCTCCTTTAAAAAAAGCTATGTTATTCAATTTAGCTTTGCTTTTTAGAAGTTAGTACACGGTAATTATGATAAATATAAATTTCTAAATTCTACAGTTATTAATTACCAACTTCTATTTTTTAAGACACTTGTAATATTTTTGGAAAAACACTTTAAACGCAATTTGTCTACTTACTTCTTTTCTATTGAATAGGCAATTATATTTTTTCTAGAGGAAACAGATTTATTTTACTTAGGTCACACGCTTTAGCTTATAAAACTATCTCCCATCTTCTGTCAAAAACTGAGTTTTTTTCAAGGAAAAAAGCTTTGACCAAAATTCAGCATATTTCTGGAATTGCTAAAACTATTAGAATTCATACTAAATATGTTCAGCCGAAGTTGAATAATCTAACGATAACTTATTAGGAGAAATCTTTTCTAATTTGTTACGCATGCGCTCTGAAACTCTTGCTAACTGGAATATTTTTGCCTGCTCGCCAGTTAGTTGAATTAGCGATTTCGCGACAGCAGTTTACTTTGGCTTAAGGCGAGTTTCAAGGAGCAGAGCCTTTTTTCCCAACTACTTTGTAAGTTTGACGTATGTTCTAATTCAGTTTTTCATTTTAAAGTTTTTAATAAATAGTTTATTTTGGTAATTTAGTTTTATTTCGTTATTCGATGGCTCATATTAGTTTAATCCATGTTAGTATTCCCCACAAAATACATTATATGGACTTCAATGATTCTTACCTACTAGTACAGAGTGACAATTATTGAACTATTATGAAACAAAACCGTATAACTTCTGAACGGTTTGCGGGATGAAGTTCAAACGTCGAGGTTGGCCGCAGGGCATGATGGGAATTAGTATGCGCAGGCACACGCAACTTGTTGCTGTCGGCCATATGGATGATAAAATGTCACGGTGCAGCATGTCGAGCAAAATTGGCTCATTGGATTGATGATCCATATTTGGCGATCGAGAAATCTCTCCATCCTCAACGAGTGACTGTATGAAGTGCAATGTCCAATTACGGAATAATCAGTGCGATGTTTGTAGACGGCAAAGGTGACTACTGAACGATATGTGAAGGCTTTGGAAAACTATTTCATCCCCGTTATCCGAAGTGTCAACAAGGTGGACATGCAAGACGAAGTTCGACCCCACCAGACCAAGAAAGTGTTTGAGGTCCTTGGGGAGCACTTTTAGGACCGCATTCTGGCTCTGAGGTACCCTGAGTCTACTAGAATGGAACTTACTTGGCCATCGTATCCACCGGATCTGAACACACATGACGCATTTTGTAGGGCTATATTAAAGACTATGATCAAAATAACACCAAACTCGATTTTGAGCAGAAAACTGCCATTCAAGAGGTAGCATCGACAGCATCGATGTTCCGACACTTCAGCGACTTATGCAAAATCTTGCTATTCGTCTGCGACAATAGCCAATGATGAAGCATAATAGCATATCGAAGATGTCATAACCTAATTCCGAATATCTATAGTGACGTATTATTCCCCACTCCCCTTTCCATATTGAATAAAGTTTCTATACTCAGTAGTTTTTAAATAATTTACCTTTTATTTCATATGGCTTAATAATTGTCACCTTCTATGTTTGCCAGCACAAATCTTATATAACATCAAGAACTTGGAACTAGTGATTTGATACACATTAAAAAATGCACATGTCATAATTGTTTAGAACAAATAATTATTAATACACTTAACTATTGACTTGTCGCTTATTTCTCAATAGTCAGTTTACTTACATTGATACTTCAGATGGCATCATTGAACATGAGCTTTTTTACTTTTAAAGAATTTTTCGACAGTATTGGGTTTTACTACCCCCAAGATCAGACTGGAAATGTGGGTTCTAGAGGGAGATTTGAATAATAAACTCTATAATAGTTGGTTTTTTTTTTTCGAATTTTGAATATCAAATAAAACTAAAAATGTTAAAAGAAAGAAAGAAGAAAGAAAAAGGAAGAAGAACGTTACTGTTACTCATTTTGGGATTCTGTTAATCTATTTATATAATTTAATAGAAATTAAACATTTTCCTTTCCCTAGAAAAGCAGCAAATAACATCGTTGGATTTAACTTTACAAATTATAGGATTATTTTATTATTTCATTATAATGTTAATTAGTAAAGAAATAACAGCAAACAAGTTAACTGAATTTAAAAGAATTTTTTAAACTGTCAACTGTCGAAACAGTTGAATAAACTGTTGTAGTCTAATAATTCAGAAACATTAATAGCACAATGTGTTGAGTGTTTTACTTTTACTTAATACCTAAAACTTTCTGAAATGATAGATGGAAAAGATCTTTGGATTTAATGTTACAAATTATAGGATCACTTTGTTATTTCGCAATAATTTTACTCATGAAATAAATAACAGGAAACAAGTTCACTGCATTTAAAAAAAATCAACTTTCAACTGTGGAAACAGTCGAGTAAATTGTAATCTCACACTGTAAAAAACTTCAGAAACTAATTTTGACTCTACAAAAGTGTTTTCAAAAATCTCAGATAACTTCATTTAATAGCATGTTCTTGATCCTTGTTTGAGAAACATTTCTTTTATTTTCAATAGAAACGCATTCAGGACTTTGAAACTCTATCACCAATTAACTTACGCTAAATATTGGTATTTTCAATTCTGGCTTTCAACATAAGCTATTTCTCTATATAGGGTAATTTAATTTCCCTATATTGAAAAATGACTCTCGTTGAATAAACATACATCTTAAATTTAAAAACGACCTAAATAAAAAAAATTAAACTGTCAACTGTTAAATTATCAGTCGTTCAATTGATAATAGCAAACTGTCAACTGTCATCGGAAGGTACCTTTTCATAAAAAAATTGTCCCCTGCCATTGTTACCATAAAGGTATACGCGAATTTTGATTATGTCCCCCTTTTAAATAGATTTGACTCTCCTGCTTTACCCCTTCCTTCTCGCTCCCGTAAAAATGGCGGGGTGAGGTTTCGCCCTCTATTTCTCGCTCCCGTGATATTTCCGAGCTGGAGTATTCAGTAGTAACGCACTAATAAGAATAAAACTAATTCATTTCTTTTGTCCGGGAAACATTTTATTTCTCATTTTACACACCAGATGGCAATGCCAGTATATTTTTAAGGTAATTGTAGATAGTTAGTTTATTTTAAACTAGATGTCAGCACTAATCAGGGATACAGGGATTAAAAAAAATAGGCACTTTCATGACCGTTTTCTTGGAAATTAACCGATCGTTAAGGGGTTAAGGAACCTGATGAAAAATATCTCCTCTCCTTCAGAAAAATAATATTGATATTAAAAAGTTTAAAATATTTGCGTTTCAAACAGATTAAACAAATTTTGCAGTGTTTTATGACAATCCAAATTATTAAGTTCGATATCCTTCATAAAATATATATTCTGTAATAGATGTTATGTTTTCTTTATTCATAAAGAGATAAAAAAAATGAAAAATGGTTATCCCTAACAAGATAAATTTCCTTAAAAATACATTATGAGACCATTATTGAATCGATTTCTTCCAATTTATGTTTTCGAATAAAATGCTACATAGCATCTAGAAACCATTACGTTCATTTTTTTATTTAGCTCTGCATCTTGTCATCACCTTAGGTAATTTTCTGAATATGCAAAACGCAATTTTTCTCATAAATTTTGCAAGAACAAAAATTTCTTCGACGTGCCTCCCTTTTAACAGCTAAAGTGAAGTTTCGGTTATCTTTTTGGTGATATCAAGATAACTTTTGGAATTACTTGTCTCCTATTTTCGAGACAAGATAATGAGAAATTCGATACCTCTTTTTCAGCATCAATCATACCGAATTGTGAAATTTTCGACTTATTATTTGCTTTTTATTTTTTTTATGCATTCGATCTCTATAGCCCAACGACGCAAATAGCATCGAAATCCATTAAACTTAATATATTATTCTGAAAGGCAAAGTAATGGTGCAATTTTTTAATAACAAATTGGTGCAAGAAAATAAAAATTGACAATATGTTCTCATTAATGGTGTTTAAGTGATGAGCGCTAATGCATCTATTCGTTTTAAAATGTATTCTCAAGTTTTTTTTAATAGTTAATTTCTTGATTATTTTTTTTCTTGAGTTCTAGAAAATTTCTTTACGAAATTGAATTCTTACACCACTGAAAGTTTTAATTGGGAATAATAATGACTGTTACATAAAATAGGTTCGGATATTTGAGGTTTAACTTTTTCATTGTGATGAACTAGATAACTCGTCTTCCAAGAATATTCGTGCTCTATTGTTGTATTAGGGAATATGGTTAATGAATGCAATTAATTATTATTTTCTGAAGTAAAATTGAAATTTTTTAAAGGAATATGTGTTTTGTTTAATTTTTAGTGCTGCGGGGGAACTCTTAAGTACAGATTGTGGAACAAAGGCGCGCCATTGCTGCGATAAAAGTGCTAATTGCATATTATGAAAATGACTTACTTGAGCTATTTGATCGAAGCGGCCAAATAGTTCATTCAGAGTCTTGACCAAATCTGATGCTGAAAGTTGTTCCGACAGAGGAGTAAAATTCACTATATCTGCGTAAAGTATGCTAAAAATAAAAACAGAATTTTTTTTTTTTTAAATTTCAGTTAAAATATTTAGTGTAAAATTATATCATAATATAATAAATTAAATTAAGAAACAAACACAAAGCTTAGAAATTTGCACTTAGAAAAAAAGTATGGTTAAAACTAGCAGAATATGATAGCATTTATAATGTTTCTGGCTATATTCGGCTGGTCTCGAACCCGCTACCTCCAAGCTACAATAGATACATTTTGGTCCCGAACTTGATAATCTTCTTCTCTTGTGTTATCTGTTCTTCAACTTTCTTAAGGCTTATAATAAATCGTACTTTGTAATGAGCACACTAGCCTGCTATGCATGTGTAATAATAAATTAATAAATAAATACTTCGAATAATAATGCTTTTTTTTTTAATATGGTTTTTTACAGGGACTTCACCGGAGAAGAAAACTTGCCTCTTTGCGAAACGTCATTGAAAATGGCAGTAGCCGGCTCGGATCAAAGTTTTATCCTGGATGTGTAACAATGAATAAATTTGGTTTTGATAAAAAGGCAGGCTCTTGTGCATAATGCAAAAAATAGCTTGTATCTTGTCAAATTGAAGAGCAGACAGCACAAAGTAGAGAAAAGCAACATGAACATGTAGAACCCGCAACCTCTACTCTAAAAAGCGTGTAAAGGATGAACAATAGCCAGCCGCAGCGGAGGTTCTATCAATATGTAGTTGTTTAACTTGCAATAAATCTTAGGGAACTTCATTGCCATGCAGTATCGCAGTTCCGCTAACCACTCTAAAGTGAAGGCGTAGTGGGTTCGAATTTAGCTACAACACTGGATATATATGGAAGGTACTTTATTTACGTCGCACTAGAACCTCACAATGGACTATTGGCGACTTTCTGGGAAACATCCATGTGGATGATCCGAAGACATGCCACCGCAATTTTGATTCTCTGCAGAGAGGATGGCTCCCCTGCTTTGGTAGTCTGGCGACCTACTCGCGAAGTAAAGCACTTTACGGTAGAACTGTTTAACGAAGTACCGCACACCCTCGGTCCCAACTCAGGATGATCAAAGTGGTTGCCCACCCACTCACTGACCACAGACAATGATGATTGACTTCGGTGTTCTACTGAGAACCGTGTCTTTACTATCAGTTCACTACTAGACGAATATATATGGATACACTGAATATATATATAATTGATTTCTTTCGCCAAATTGTGCTTATAAAGTTTTAAAATAGAAAAGAATTAAGCCATTTTTTTCTTTACAAAGAAAGCCACATATGTATGTAAATAACTTCTACTAACCACCTAAAGATTGATAAAACAGAGACCACATATTTAAGTTTAGTATTCACTTTAAATAAAAGTTTGAAGCCATCACTCATGACCCTTTTCTACTTGTTATAATTGAAAAATATATTAGGAAAATAAATGAAAAACTATTAAATAACCACTATTAACCATTAAAGTAAACAGTCATTTTAAGTAAGCGGAAGGTCTATTACTATTCTCTGAGGTAAAAGGAATAGACATGAAGAGGTTAAAATTATGAAATAAACTGTGAAATGAGCGCCAATTCTGAAAAACAGTTCAGTAATTTAAAAATGATACTTTAGAGCCTGGCTTAAAAAAACATTTATTTGGCTATATTAACTTTTCAGTTTAGTAGTTTTACAAATTGTGAGGTAATAAGAACTACATTTTTGAAGACCAGAATTTCTAGCAATCCGTTACCATCGTACAATAATTTCATCAGAAAGTCGCAAATAAAATTACGACAAGGTATTTATATTGAACTTCGTAATTTCATTTCAGAGAGACTCAAGATATACTCTCCATACTTTACAGCACTCTATATTAACAGTACATACTATATTTTTTGCTAATAAAAGTGTTTCGGTTGTATTGATATATTTCTTTCAATGTCACAAATGAAATTGTGACAAGGTATTTTATTGAACTTCATAATTGCATTTCAGAAAGACTCAAGATATACTTAGCACACGCTCTGTATTAACAGTACATAATATATTTTTTGGTATTCATATAGTTTAATAATACTATACAGTACAATTGCTATATTTTTTCTACTAAAATTTATTAAGATGTATTGCTATATTTCATTCAATTAAATTTAAAATTTTAAGTTAATTGCAAATTCGTTAAAAAGATACATGATTCATTTTATGATTCATCAATTCATATGACAAATAAATATACACAGCGGCCGCTTTCATTAGTTGAATTATACTATTTATAATTCTTAATATTACTTTCTATAATTATATAGTAACGATTCTCTTTAATGGTCTAAGAAAAATAATTTCGTTGAAAAAAAAGTAACGATTGGGAAAAGAGCTAAAGAACTTTAAGCATTAAGTTTTAAAAAAAAGTAATTACTTTTACTTATGAGTATTTTTTTAAATCTCAAATAATCTAAAAACTAAACAATCAGTTGGTACTTAATATCGTGACTACCATCGTTTCATTGAGAAATACGATAAATAAAATAATCTCTTCTTGTCAAAGCAGGATATGAAAGTTAATAACTGTTCCCTAAACTTTTGCTTCAACAACAAAAAAAATCGAGAGTTTTTCTAATGGTATAAAAAAGATATTAAAATGTCAATTAAGAATCCTATCTATAGTTTCCATTTTTTTTTCTACAAAAATACACATTTAAAATGGATACATCTTTAACGATATAAGCTGTGTTTTTAATCTTAACTTCTAGTTAATTTCTTTTAAATTATCAAAATATGTAAAATTATTGCGAATTAAAAATAAGCTTTCCATTAGGTAAACACTGGTAAAGCCGGCTCAATTTCAGAACGATGTTTTTTATAATTAAAAATGACTCTATTATAATGTTTGATCGAAGTTCAAGGAAAAAATAACTGTTTAAACTGTATCTTAATAAACTATCGTACTAGAAAAATTACTTAACAGATGCTGATTAAAAACTATAAATAATTCGGCATACGCAGATTCAAATTTTTATATAATTATGGAATTTTAACGTAATGAAATATATTTGATGAAATATATTTACTACCATTTTACAATTGAGCTAAAAGGAAGTTTTGATGAGTGGATGGAATCTCACCTGACATTGTTATGCCTCTGAACATAGAGCTCATGAAAACGTTGCTTTGATTGGGCATTTGAACTTTGACAGGCATCAGCCATTTTGAGCATGATGCTTCTCTTCACTTCAGCAGCGATGTATGCGGGTATAACACTCAACAACAGCTGTTCCTAAAAACATGAATAACTTATTAAACTAACGTATTATTTGCAATAATTGCTTTATTATTTATAATAATTGCTTTATCATTTATAATAATTGCTTTATTATTTATAATAATTGCTTTATCATTTATAATAATTGCTTTATCATTTATAATAATTGCTTTATCATTTATAATAGTTGCTTTATTATTTATAGTAATTATTTTATCATTTATAATAATTGCTTTATTATTTATAATAATTACTTTATCATTTATAATAATTGCTTTATTATTTATAATAATTACTCTACCATTTATAATTATATTTTTTTGGCTTTTCAAATATTCATTATGAATTTTATTTTATATCCGTCGATGAACAGCCGGCCCAATTTTTTGGGTTTACCACTACTAATGTTCAACTCGGTAGCAGTGTAATTTTTGAACCAATCCAGAAGACAAGAAAACTCCTGGATCAGTACCCCAAGAGTTATTGATTTGCTATGGAAACTTGGAAGACTTTAAGACTCGACAGATTTAACGTGCATTAGTCGCCATTTACTGACCGGTGGGGCTTGAACCCACGAACTCGTGGACATGGGCCCACTGCCCTACTAACCAGGCTATCCCAGGCCTAATTATGAATTTAAAGTAAAATTTTTTGTAGTTAAAGAACTATTGAATGAAGTTTTATTACAAGAAGTTAAATCTCATAAGACGCATAGCCAAACTATATTTAACGACAAAAGAGGGTGCGATTGTTCTTGTTTTCCAGGGGAGCCATCTATTGCCAGGAATTCGACTTCTGCCACACCATACGTCACACCATTTATAGGGCGGACCATACATCCATTCATTCATCGTAATTTTGACCTGAATCAGAGAACGATCGATCTCCAATCCAGTACTCCCAGAGGTATTGATTTGTTATGGGAACATGGATAACTTTTGCGACTCGACAGATTTAACGTGCATCAGTCACTTTACTACACCGGGAGTCTTCGGCTGGCGGGGTTCGAGCCCACGAACTCTCGGCCTTTTATTACATTATTATTATTTTAAATAACAGCCTACATCTTAACACCAGCCGCACTGGCATAAACCACAAAGGATCACTTTTTTAGGTTTTTACTGTATATTAATACTATGGTTTTATTGCATATACATGTCAATAAGACAATTTTATTGTTTAAAACTATATGTGATTTATTTTTAATTAAATTTTGTATTTTATTTCGTAAACTTTTTAATTTTAAATAATTTCAAAAAGCAGCTTGTCTCTCGACACAGGTCACACACGCATCAACCAAAATGGATCACTGGTCAGAGATTTTACTATATATTGATTATTAACAAAAATTCGTTTATTTGAAGAAAAAAAGCTTTAATAATTTTAACAAGGAAAGCTGATTGTCTAGTTAAGAGTTTTAAATTTTAAAATTGTGATTTTTTTTTTGTAATGCTCGGTGATAATTTTAAAAATAAAAAAAAATCCCTGTAATTTCCCAAACCTAATAATTGTAAAACGAAGTTTTTTCTAAAAAAAACAATTTAAAATAATCAATTCCTGCTTATTTGGCAAAAATAATTTTAAAAAAGTACTGATTTAACATTAAGAAATGAAATTAAAATTGTTTTAAAACTTATTTTAAAAATGAGAGAAAGATTACGGTTCAGAACTATGATTAAGTACTTTTCACAATCATGCATAAATAATTTTAAATAAATACATAAGTATTCCTAATTAATGAATCAAACAATCATAAAGTATGAAATATCAAGCAATTAATACAACATATGAAAATAGATAAAATAAAATACCAAACAATTTAATTTACTTAACTGTAATCAATGAAACTTACTTAAAAAAACTAAATTTGTTAAAAAAAAATTCAAATGTACTATATTCGTGAATATTTAACTTTTTACTACATACATAGATAAGTAGATATTCTTTAGAAAAGCATTTTAAATAACTATCAATTTCTGAAAAAGAAATTGATATTATTTGAAGACTCCTATTTGAAGAAATAGGAAAAGCATTTTATAGAGAAAAATACAGTTTTGAAAGTTTAAAGTATTTCGAAAGTTCCGAGAATTTAAGATTGAATTTGAAAGTTTTTCATTTGAAATTTAAATTGTTTTTGAAAAATATCAAACATTTTCAAGATTTGATTCCTTGAAAAAAAGCTCTACAATAGAAGTTATAAGTAATGTGGCGGAGAGCATTTAATTAAATCCACTGTTGTTTTAAAATACAGAAACGTTTTCTTCTACAGTTGAATAATTTTTTATGACGAACCCCTACTTAACAAATCAATTGCATTGGCTATAAGTTGGTTGCTCTGTCAATTTCAATACTGAATTGGGATGAAGACACGTCTTATTTGAAAAAAAAATGCTAGAGTTCCTTGTAAAGAATATATTAATTTTCATTCAGTAATTAGATTTTAAAAAATACTAAAAACATGGAATTATTGATTTTGGAAATTATTTTTGATTTAGTACATAACTGTAGTACAAACATGATGCTGAATTCAGAATTTTACTATTTTTGATCTTTTAAAACTGAATGAACATATCCTTTATAATGTATGGTTCAAATTCCAAAAAATAATTATTTTATTTTATTTAATAACCGTCGTTGAACAACCGACTCAATTTCCGAGTTTACGACTACCAATGTTCAACTCCATAGCCTTGTAATTTTGAATCTAATCCAAAAGACAAGGAGACTCCTGGATCAAGTATTAGGAGAAATCTGTCTTCATGGAGGACTTCTTGATGGAACTAATCCGTATTTGCGTTAAAGGGAGGAAAACATGAAAATCTAACACGGTTCGCCTGACGGTAACGGGACTCTAACCCATGATCAGTCTACCAGTGAGAACATTTCACGTCAGCATTGTGGTCGGGGCGAGCCGTTTCCAGAATTCGCATCGACCAGCCATCGCTGGGATTCGTACCTGGCTCACCTCATTGGAAGGGGAACATTCTATCCCCTGAGCCACCATGGCTGAAAAAATATAATAATGGTAAATTGCAGTTAAATTATAAATATGTTTGCATTTCAAATAATTATTGATCATAACTTATTACTTTAAATAGTTCACTGATAATGCTGACTGGACTTTGTAGTGGTCAGTTCAAATCCCGGACAAGGCATGGATGTTCTTTCATTCTTAGTATAATTTGTCCTTAGTGTGGGAGCAACGTCGGCCCACCTAATATGGTACCCCCGAAAAAGTGGCCAGCAAATTTGCCCTACTGATACTTCACTAACGAAAGTTAATAGGTTGAGAATTGAAAAAAAAAGAGTTTATCGATTATTTATTATTCTCTCTAAGTAGCGTTTTCAATATACGAAAAATAAATAAAAATTGCTTTTCTTTCCTCTAAAATGGCACACTATAACATTTTAGAAAGTTGTCAATTTTTTAAAATCAAATTAAACACACTAACTTCACTAGAATGAGATCGAAGATTTTTAACTCATTACATAAATATACGGTAGAGTTTAAAAGAAGTAAAAAAAAGCATATGTTTTCAATATTTTCACATCAAAAGCAAAAAAAAAAAACAATAAAAAACTTACCGAGACATTCAAACTACTTTTTTTTCCTTTATTAAGTAATTCAATTAATAACATCCTATGGATAATAATTCACTGTAACAATCCTTCAAGCTTATAAAGAGAGTGACGTGCATTTTATAAATGTTCATTTTTCGTGAACGAAGCTGGAACATTCTCAATGCCAGTAAAGATTTTAACTCAGAGAAAACTATTTTAGCGTTATGATGTCATTATTTATATTAACTGGTTTAGTTTAATTTATAGATTTGTAATAAGATTAAAAACTCAAACATCAAATTTACTTCAACTAGTTTAAGTATTTATGTGAAATAAAAATACTTACACATCTTAAAATTTTTTCCAAAAATAATTTACATTTTGTAATGCTCCTACTAATCCCCTCGTATCTTCAACATACTCACTGTCAAAGTATCATGGCTTTGCGCTCAAAATAGAAAACCATAACTATACTGTGATGATTACTACAGACAAACCAAGAATTTCTCAAGAGGTACATAAACGGATAAAAAAAATCTGCCTCGTGAATCACAACGGTTATATTTTGAAGAGATATTTCTTAGATGAAACAAGAACGAGAGTCATAATCCAGAGTAAAATAAATTTCACAAGAACCAGTAAAAGAAATAAATAGGAAAGATATAGCGGGGAAAAAAAGGTTTGTGGGTTTTATGTCCTTTCTAAATAATTCTCCGTTTCAGAAACCTTTTTTATTTTCAAACGGTAGAAAAGGAAATATAAATAATTTTTAATGGGATTTTTTTCGAGGGGGATTATATTTTAAAGTGTTTTATTGCATATGGTCGATTCCCCGAAATTATCTGATAAAGTACACTGTAAGAAATTTTCCAAAAGAAATGATTAAATAACGATTTATTTCATTCTTATTTTGCCATATTCAAACATAACAGCCAAATAACCGTAAGTAAGGTGTTATTCAAACTGTTAACGGTGGATGAAAACCATTTATTAACTGCTTTCGCCTAATACTATTACGCAACCAGAATTTTATCGCACCAACTAGTCCCACCTAATGAAAGCACTTAGTTTTTTGCAGCTGGGTACATATTATAGCCGAAGACGAAGAGGCTAATCAGTCAATCTCACGGCCGACAGAATGGGGGATCGAGTCCCAGGGTTGACACAACAGCATTTCTTCTATACCTATCAACACGGGAAGAGCTTTCAGTGTCATGCACTCCGCAATTTGTGATCCTGGACTATTACAATATAATACTCTCCTTCACGCATAGATAGAAACACCATAAAGCTTTTAATACAAAAAAGTCTAGTATTTCTCATATCTTAGGATAAGGAAAACATCCAGATAAACTAATTCAACTAAATTCCTAGTTCTTGATAAAACACAACTTAACCGCAACCTAACTCCAACACCCATTACCTAACGAATGGCCTGACTGTAATATCTAGTTAAATTTCTTTTTTTTTTTACGGTTTTGAAACCAAGCCAGTTGTAAATGGCTAAAAATACGCATAGTTTTGCTAGCATGTTTTTTAACCATACTAGTTGTAAACGATTTTAAAACTATAAAGGTAAAAAATGCTCTTTATCACAAACTTTACTGTTAATTAGATGAACAGACAGCTGTGATTATTTTACAGTAGATTTAGAAGGATAATTTAAACCGTATATGATAAAACAGGTTTGTCCCGGATTTGGACACAGTGTTAAAATCTGTAGCTAAAACAATGTTAATTATAAAAAGATTTATTAAACGTTGCTAATAATAATTATTATTATTAAATATTGCCAAGCATAAAAATGAATTGCAAACTTGAAAATACGTTCAAATGATCCCTCTTGTCATTCTATCTTGCATTTGTTGAATATTTGCATGAAAAATCATTTCGCTGAAGAAACTCAAAATTGGTGAAACTTTTAACGAACTTCGATCATAAAACTTTTAACGAAATTCGATCAATATTTATAGCTGTCAGACAGTTAATTTATTAAGTAATTTGAATTGAAATTTTGAAACTAACTGGTTAAGATTACACCCATGCCATGTTAATTTATTAAATAATTTATAAACAAAACTTTACAAAACATTAAAGTAAATTATGAGAATATGTTTTGGCTATTAAGTTTAAAATCTGCAATGATTTCATAAATTTGTTATAACGCAATTTTAATTTGTGTATTCTAGGCAGATATTAAATTTCTTACTTATGGTTTGAGCTCTAGAAATAGTTAAAGTTAGTGATAATCAAAATGAATAAAAAATCTAAAGACATGAAAAATTTTGATCAAAATTTTTTTTATGGCATATAACATTTCTTTAAAAAAATTTTGTAACATACACCATTCACACTTTTAAAGTTTCTTGTATTATTCAAATTTTAAATGTTCGGATCACAGAATGATCCTAACATGTATTCACATTTTTTAATTGTTATTACAGTATGGTTTTCTAAATAATAACATCTAGATAATACTTATTACATATAATAATATTAATTTCATCCCGTTGCTAAGATATTTACATGGAAAGTATCTTTATTTATAATATGTTAAAAATAATACAGATAATTTTAATAAACATGAACATACAAAATAATACTGATAATTTTTATCGCATCTAAATAAAAAAGTTCCAACAAAAATATTTAATAAATAAATGAAAAATTCTGTTTGTATTACCATCTAATTGGTGAACTTAGTAATTAATTTTGAAATTTTTTAATAATAAGTAAACTTGTTTATTTAGTTGAACACCGTAAACTGTACTCTCTCCCTACGAAATTTCTTCAGCCACCTGTCATTATTGAAACATCTAATGTTAGGCTTAGAAAATTATTACTTAGGAATGTTTTTCAACACAAATTTGAACTTACAATCATACTCGTATTATTATATTTGAAAACTCTGAGAATAAAAACTTACTTGTTGCTCCTTTTCATATTCCAATTTAATTCTAGATTCAATAAAAAACCGTGTACCAGCGAAAGTCTTATCATGGGATGCATCTGTAGTACGCCTATGGAAATATCCAATCAATGTTCCGCAGGTCAAAAACAAAGAACAAGCAGCAACCTATTCGAATTAAAAATACATATATTTGTATCATTTTTTTATTTTTAAAACAAAAATGAGTAAAAAACTAGAATTCCTTGTAAAAACATAGAGCTAGGTGATAGATATATCGTGAAATATCAATAGTTTTTCATCGCGATAACTATAATTGAAATAATATTCTCACGATATACCAATGCTTTAGGATAAATAGCGAAAGCACACTGAGTGTCTCACAGGTCAAATACAAGGAACAATCAGATACCTATTGAAAAGGGGGGGAAATGTAAATTTTTTTCTTAAAATTTGAAACAAAAATTATTTAAAAACCAGAATTCCTTGTCAAAAATAGAATTAGATGATATATCGGGAAAAATCTATTTTTTATCACGATAACTATAATCGATATATCGATAATCGATATAATCTAACGATATATTGTGAATACCGATGTTTTATGATAAATAGCGAAAGTACGCTAAGTGCTCCCCAGGTCAAGAACAACGAACAATCAGAAACCTATTAAAAGGGAAAAAAATGGGAAATTTTTTATTAAATTCTGAAACAAAAATGAGTAAAAAACTAGAACTCCTTGTCAAAAATGGAACTAGGCTATATATCAGGAAATATCAATATTTTTTCATCGCGATAACTATAATTAAATAATATTCCCACGATAGATTGTGAATACCAATATTTTATGATAAATCGCGAAAATACACTAAATATCGAATGCAATAAGGACTCGAGTACAATCTATAACGATAATTATCAAATTCAATAATATCGTGCTCATTTTCGACAACCATAAATATTCCAGGCGATAATATCGTGAATTTTATCTATTGAATGGTATTATCGTGAGTGTTGATAAATTTCATTTAGGAGACCAAACTATAGACTTTAAAAACAGTATAAATTAGTTAATTTTTATTTTTATAGCCGTCGTTGAACAGCCGACCTACTTTTATGGGCTTACGACTCCTAATACTCAACTCCGTAGCCTTGTAATTTTGAACCCAATCCAGAAGACAAGGGAGCTCCTGGATCGAGTATTGGGAGGAATTTGCCTTCGTGGAGGACTTTTAGATGGAGCTAATCCGCATTTGCGTTACATGGAGAGGAAGACCACGAGATTCTCCCATGGTTGGCCTGACGGCAGGGGAACTCTAACCCATGATCCGTCTACCACTGAGAATATTTCATGTCAGCACTGTGGTCGATGCAAGCCGGATGCGGAATTTGTATCGACTGGGATTTGGACCCAGTTCGCCTCACTGGCAGGCGAACGCTCTATCCCCTGAGCCATCGCGGCTCTAAATTAGTTAAATTGGAAAAATATCGTTATATGTCAGGAAATATAAATATTAATTGACAATGTTTCGCAAAATTAAAATTTTTATATCCCTTCAGCACTAGCCGAGAAAGAATGTTTTATTCTTCGATAATCAGAAGGATATCTCAGTTAATATTTATGTTCATTTTCACTGAAATTATGCCCTAATCCGAATATTTGCAATTCCATTAAAAACGAATCCTAAACAAATAAAATACTACAAGTTTTATGAATCTCTAAATAACGTTGCTTGAATATTTTATAGTTTGCCAAGCTATTTATTCATGCCATTTTTTTCCTTAAACATTGCTCAGTGCGTTGCAAAATATTCGATGTCGGGGAAAGATCGACAAATTGCATCCAAATCCAATCACATAAAGAATGAAATCCTCATTATTAAATACGAAAGGGAGTTCCATTTGTTATGTAAAAGAGAAATCAACATATAAAATTCAGATATTCTTTAGCATAGGCGAACTGGAAATAAATATGAATGCAGAAACGACTATGGAAGTATTGAACTTAAAAAAGAAATAAGGTTGTGTATTCTATTTTTATTATTGTTGCACAAAGAAATTTACATAAAAAGTATTATGCTGAAAAGTAATAACCTAAAATGAAATCAATGATGTCGCATGCACTAAAGCGAGTTACTAAAATTAGTATCTTTATGGATTTTGGAATGGTAAAATTTACATTTGTTTGTTTTTAAATAAATGCCTCAGGAGTCATATTTACGCTGAGTACTTTTAGTGTGAATTTAAAGGATTACAAAATAATTCATTTCAATGTTAATTCGTTTTATTTGAAAATTGTTCCAAGTTGATGTATAGCGCGTGAAAAGATTAACGAACCATCAACTATTTTCTACGTTGTTTAAAAATTAAACATATATGTATATTTATTATCAAATGTTGTTTAGTGAACCACGTTAATTTCTCTTTAAAAATAGCTCAATGGAAAGGAGTGAATAAACAAAATATTACAATTGTGAATATAAATTATTCCTACTTTTTAACACTGTAACTATGCTTAGCTTTTTTTTCTTTAAATTTTATTAAATTATGCATTACCTTCATTGCTTTTTTAATCAGTTTCTAACTACGCAATATTGTAAAAAAAAATAAGCAAAACACCCTGTATACTTCTTATCTAATTATCGGATTTTCATGTACTGGGACTTTATCTTAATGGTCCTTGACTGAATTGACTTATTAATTAGTGCAGACGATATATTAAGTTGCAGAATTAAACACCAAAACGTACTTTCACTGAATTAATATACCTTTTTTCGACGGATTATTGACTATAGGGCCACATTGTGGGTCGCCTAATTTGCCGATAATTATTTCCTCTGGTAGGGTACACTAGTACTCTTTAATATAATACGTGTTCCAGTTTAAATATTATGGGTTAAGGGGAGATATAGGACAATTTAGTAATACAGTAAATTAATCTCATATTTCCTCATTTTAACGCTATTCAACACACTATTATAAATATACATACATAGTGGGCCATATTGTGGGGTTCTTAATTGACTTATAATTTTTTCCTTTAGTAAGGTACCGTAGTACCTTGTAATATAATACATGACCCAGATGATTTCTGGTTTCCAAAATATAGGGGGGTAGCCTTAATCTGAGAAATATGTTCTTAATAGTTTGGTCAGCAGAGAGGACACCCTCGAATAATTAATATTAAGTCTTAGTATGTGGAAATATGGTCATGAAATCAAAAGTTATTCAGGGTGCTTTTTTGCTCCCATCAGAAATAATTCCTATTTAACTCTCAGCAAGTCACGCGTGTAATGCATGTCCACTATAAAATTTAAAAACTTTGCAAAATTTTTCGTTTTAACTAAACTATAATATGTTACTTCGTTTTGCTAAAAATGTCATTTTTATTAAATAAATAGTTATTTGCTTCCATAATATAGAACATGTAACGTGTGTCACCTTCATCAAACATTCTAACTTCGTGAAAAGGAGAGTGAAAAATTCCTTTGAAAACTACTTACGTTTCATTTCAAAATGCTTAAAATAGTCATTTTATAATAGTATGAACATCATTTGAATCACTTATATTTTATCTTTAAAACTCATTTCTTAAGAAATAAGTTTAAAAATCTCTATTAATATAAAAAGTTTTACAATATAAATAAAAAAGTTTCAGTTTCATATCATTGACTTTTTATTTAACTTTTGTTTTTTAAGTAAAGGGAACAAAAAAAATAAAGGAGGAAAGATAAATTCCTTACCTGTCAATTGAATGGGGGAGTATCTATTTTGGTATGCATAGGACTAGTAGTTCAAAAGTTATATGAAATACAGTGAATGCGAAGTGTAAAAAGCACAACATTTGGTTTATTCTTATTTATGGGTCAGTATCTAGACAAATGTGGTATTATTACCGGTACATTTTTTAAGCCAAATAGAATGAAATCGAAACAAAGTTCATGGAATAAATATTTCGAAAGTTATAGAAATGTCTGTGTACAAAATATACAATTTTGTACTTATGCCTTTTAAATTTTTTAACATAGCTCTATAGTCATGTTAAGTAATGAATCCTATGTATTGCTTTACTCTAAATTAAATGAGAACAAAAGCGAATCAATAAGAGAAGCAATCATTTTTACTTGCTTCCATTATACTTTTAAAACTAGATCTGAGAAATCAGTTTCGATTTTATTAGAATAAGTGTAGCAAAATGCTGTGCTCACTAGTCTAAGTAACAATTTGCACAGCATTAATAGATACAAATACTAATATTATACTTTTTGTATATGAAACCATAATTTCATGCCCTCAGTGCTATAAAATTAGCTCACCTAGAAAAAGTTTTTAGTAAAGTCAAACTAGACGAAATTTTACAGTCTTGATATGAATAAGTCTTTAACAAAATCAAAGCAAACTGATAATTTATTGCGGGAAAAATTACAAACTATAGAAGTTTCTAGTACTATCTTCTTCTAGAACAAATGCAGGATACGATACAGTCGATCATTGAGGCATACATGTCCAGTATGTTGCCTTGCGGTGCCTCGGTCCACGGTTGCAGTAAAAAAAAATTTTTTTTAAAAATTTTAAATCGACTGAGCTTGAAAGCTGTCCAACTCGCCGTCCCAAGTGGTCCAAGATATGCTCGTCCGTTAACAAATTGGAAAATTGAGCAGGCCAGGGAAGGGTAGTAATGTGACGGAGACATTCCTGTGACACCCTTACTGAGAGTGGCAGAGCATCGTCTCATTGAAATATGAGTCCCGGGAACCCTGTCATGAGTGGTAGTTCATGTACCTGAAGAATGTCGTGCATGTACTGCTGTGCTGCCATGGCAGCGGCGATCAACATTTGGAGTTATCGTGTGTCTAATGTGATCCAACCCCGTACCATCACACCAGCTGTAGAAGCTGCGGGCTACTGTTCAGGCTACCGTAGCCTTCGTTTGGAGTGGTGTCACGATTGGACTTCAACTGACTGGAACTAGATCACCAGTAATGAATCCAGATGTAATTTGAGTAACGATGATCATCGTATACGAATGTGAAGGATCCATGGTGAACTCATCAAACGTGTACAACAGCACATTATTTCTACAATTGGTGAGATGCTATGAGATGTCATTGTACATGACACACGGTCACCCCTAATATTGATTCATAGCAACAAGACAGCCCACTGATTCGTGCGCAACATGTGTTTCCCGCATGTGTGTTGCCATCTATGCAGATCTCCCAGAAACCATTTTCAACAAGACAATGCTCAGCTACTTACAGGTGTACCAGGAATGCCTCCGCTATTTTAACACTCTTCCCTAGCCTGCTCAATGCCCAAATTTGTCACCGAATGAGCATATCTATGAGCATTTGGGGGTGGCAGATTTGGTAGCCTCTGAGTTTAATTGATTACAACTGTGCAACGAGATGACGCAGAGCATCATAACAGATTTGTGTATCTCAATGCTAGACCATATCGCATCCTGCATTGCGTTAGAGTTGGTCTAAGAGGGTTCTAAACTTTAATTCATTTGTATTTTTTTCCTTCAATAAGTTACTTTTTTAACACGTAACACGCACGTTTCGTAAAATTTCATTCCATTCCTCTACCCAGGTGCGGAAACTTTTATGGCACTCAGTATACATACATATTAGATATCGTATTAAATTTTCATGCTGACTTTAATTTTAGCAGCATACTTTTAGCAATCTTCAATCGTCAGAAAAATAGAAATGATTATTTAAAATGCTATAATACATGTGTTGTTTCAATTTTTAAAAAAATACTTTCGTCAAAAAATCATCAAAAACTCATCCATAAAAATCATTGCTCTCATTCGCTCTATATTTCAAAAGAAGTGAAAATAAGATAATCTATACACTTACCTGTTTTTCTAAATTTCCAGTATCTGTATTTGCAAGAACAGCTTCCAAAGCTACTTGAGATAGGGCAGTAAGAACAGCAATCACACAAGCGACCAGCAAAGGCAGAGAGAGCATTGTATGAGACACAAAAACTGCGAAGTAAACAAAAAGTGCATTGTCTGTAGTGCGACGATGAGTTCTACTGTAAGAGCAGACCACCAAAACACCCAGGAGACAGAGCCAAACTCCTGCTGACACAAGCCAAGAGCAATGAGCGAAAGAGCGTTCTAGGGGAACCATACAAACAAAGAGCAGAGCCAAAATGCCTACAACAGCTGATATGGTGAATATTCTAACATGATCCTCCCAAATGTCCTGTAAATCAATAAATTCAAATTTGATTATATTCTTTTAATAAACTTAAAATTATACACTAGCCTGTAAAAATCTTTGGTCAAACTTAATATTGTAGGTGGTTGATTCCAAATATAGTAAAATAATGCATAGTTCAATTTCCATAATCAACAAGAAAGCAAAATCAGAGTTTTGAAAGATACAGTTTTTACAGCTGCCAGGCAATCAATAAAAAGTGTTTTTTGTATTAAATGGTTTTTTTTATGCTCCAATGCTCCAAAAAAACGGACCACCCTGAATAACTTTGATCTAATGATTGAATCTTCACGTCCAAACTTAATGGTTCAAGAGGGTGACCTCAAATATGCTAATTAATTAGTGCAGACAATATTTTAAGTAGCAAAATCGGACATAAAAACGTATTTTCACTGAACAAGCATACCCTTTTTTCAACGGATTCGGATTTCTGAACCTAGAAATATAGGGTGTAGCCGCAATTTGAGAAATATGGTCCCCATAATTTGGTCGGGACAATAATCCAAAGTTCGAAACAGTCATTAACAGTTAATGTTAATTTTTCTTTATGCGCATTTTGCTGTATCTAGAGAACTTTTATGCAAATTGAAAAATGCTTACACATAATTAAGAAATTTATTTTTCCAAAGATAATTAATTCCTTTCGAAAAAAAATTCTTAGAAAATATTTATTGTTTTTATTATTTTATTTAATAATAGTTAAAAAATTTTGAATTCTCAGGTAATTCTCTCTTTGCGTCATTTTAAAGTCTGCAATTTTGCATGGAAAAATACAAAATTTAAACGAAATCAGTTGAATAGTTCTGTGAAACCCAATTTTAAGGAAGCCGACTATTTAAAATTTGATTTCTCAGGAACTATTAAGTCTATTTCGCCCAAATTTTGCATTTTGCCATGCAGAATTACAAACTTCGAAATAACCTAAAACATTACGTATCTTACAATTCAAAATGTTTTCGACTATTATTAAATAAAATAATAAAAAATAATACATATTTTCTAAAGTTTATTTTGTACATCAAATTATTATATGTGAAAAGATTAATTTTATAGTTGAGTGCAAAAAAAAAAAAAATTCAATCTCGAGACATGGTGAAATGCACAAAAAGTAAAAATAACATTAAGGGGTCTAAACTTTGGATCGCTCTCTTAACAAAACTATGGGGACGATATTTCCCAGATTGCGGCTATCCGCTTTATTTAGGGGGTCAAAAAACCAAATCCATTGAAAAGAAGGTATGCTTATTCAGAGAAAGCACTTTTTTGTCTCTTATTTCGAGACTTAAAACATCGTACGCATTATATAATTAACATATTTGAAGTCACCCCCTCAAATCATTAATATTGAGTCCTAGAACGTTAAGATCCGATCATTAAATCAAAAGTTATTCATGGTGTTTAAATTTTTTTTGGCACACAGTACATCAAATTAAGTATTGGATAAATTTTGTTGATTATAATAATGATATTTAGTTAAAATGAAATTTTAACAAATAAGTTTTGCATTATTTTTAACAGAGTTCTATTTGCATTTTATATGTATATACCTTTAATTTAACATTGAAATTTGTCTTGTAGAATTTGTTCTTAAGAAATATAAAAGTGAGGAATATTCAAGTTTTATCCAAAGATGGTTACATTTACAATTAAATAGCAAGAATATTAAAAATTCCGAACACAAGTGTAGCATATGCGTTGGTCAGATTAATATAACAATGGGAACAAACTACAAAGAAAGCATAGCATCAAATGTCTTCCACAGTTGACCAAAAGCCTTTTGCACGCTAGTGTACCTTTGCTAATAAAATACATTTAAAGTTTATGAAACCATTATTTCTTTGCTGCTAATGATTTTGTTAAACTAATGAAAGCTAAAATTTCGAAACAGAAACGAAATTTGCATATATCTAGTGTGTAATAGATTTATGTTTTAGTTGACAAAATTTTGAATGGGTGTTTATTTATTTGGAACATCGTAGTATAATATTTTGCTTATCATTATCGCATAATACTCATTTAAAATATTTATTAAAAAAAATAGTTGAACATTTGAATAAAACACTCTTAAGTCGTGGAAGTACTTTATAGTTAGTATATCATTTACCTGAACGAATTTTGAAAATTAACTTAACTGAATATTGGAACTTCCGTCCCTTAAGGGCCTGACAATAAAAATTACTACGTCACTCTTAAAAAAATGTTGCTGCGCTGTTTAACCTGTGATTATAATAATTCAACCCTGTGTTCAATGCACTTTATAAACTTTGTGAAATTTGATAAAATATTTAAATGAAGATGTAAATTTTTAACTAAAACAAAAAAGACTAAAAATTTAAAGAACATTAATAAATATATTCACTTTTAAAGCTGCTATTTTACTCCTTAAGCGCGTTTTTTTAAAGAAATGTTAAAAATATTTTGACGTGGAATAATGTTAAATAACATTTTGCATGTAATGAAATAAAAAAAATTAAATTAAAATAATCCTTGAGTGAATACTAAGCATTATTAGACATTTTTTTAAAACTTTGGAAGCATTTTTTTTAGCTTCATATTTTCGACATAATCGACATAAATCTTTTGCTAAATTCAAAATTAACCAAAAAATTATCCTTTCAATTGAAGTATGTCGAAAATTTCTTGGTAACATTCATCTAATTGTCCTCTAAAGTATGTAGTATTAAAGAGAATTCGTTGTCTCAAATTTTTCCTCTTTTTTTATTTTTTTATAACAAGAACCATTTAAAGATAAGTCAATGTTTTCCCATTATCTTTCGTTTCGGATAATTGAATTGTTTCGCAAATATTTCGAAATCAGAATCAACTTGTTTCGAACCTAAAAAGAGGTTTCAGTTATGCTGTTACATACCACTTTTTGATAACCAAATATGTTTTAAAATAATGCAATGGAACTTGAAAAAAAAGAAAGAAATATAAACGAATAGAAGGCTAGTTGTGCATACAATTTATTGTAATTGTGTAAGCTATTCCGTAAGAATCTTTGATTTCTTTTTATCATGCATTGTTAGAAATTTCTCGGAAAAATAAATAACAATTTATTTAACTGTTAGTTTACCATATTGTCAAATAACCACAAATAATATAGTATTCAAACTGTTTACTGTGAGAAAAACTATTTAATATCTGCTTTAACCAAATAAGGTTAAACAACCAGAATTTATCGCACTAACTAGGCCCACCTAATGGAGCCACTTAGTTCCTTGCACCTGAGTACATAGCCTAAAAGGCTAATATGTCAATCTCAAGACCGACAGAATAAGGGTATGAATCCCAGTGTTGCCACCACAATATTTCATCCTTTCCCTTCAAGACATGAAGAGTTTCGAGTTTCCTGCACTCGTCAATTTGTGACCCTGGACTATTAGAATATCATACTCTCTAAATTTTCTTTAAAAATTTTATTTATGCAAATACATAGTTTGTAAAGATTTTTTAAATTATAGTAATAAAAAAAATTTTGAAAACTGAAATTATCATTCTGGATTTCAACGACTGTTTTCTTTATTTTTTTCGAATTCTTAAAATTGCTTAGCAATTTTAGTTTTGTGGAGAAAACTTTTTTACATTTTAAAAGAAAATAAATAAATTTATTTAAAAATAAACCCGTTCTTGACTGCAGTGTGAGTTTATATTGTCCCATTTGTATGGAAATACCATAGACTAAGTAAACTAACTTTTAAACTTTCCGAAACAAATACTAGTTTGTCTTATCTAAATTCTAATTAAAAATGACAACAGTCCCTTTTTTCTGCTTCCTTTCTCTAAATGTTTATCACCTTACGTGTTTATATTCGATCCCTCGAGTACTTTATATGCAATGCAGGAAGTTACGCGATAATTTTTTCTCTTAAAAAAAATTCCCTTTGAAACAACAAAAAAGATTATAAGGTTTTCTTACACTGTAACACCTTATCTTGACATTTTTTCTTTTATTACTCCAAAATTATTTAAAGATAGTTAAGAAAACAGTGAGAAACGGAGCAGCGTAATAAAACAATAACACAAATAGAACGCAAAAGTCATTAGAAATAATCCAATTAAGAACAAAATATCAAGGATTATTGAAATATTTTTTTTTATTTTATAAGTGGTTTCTTTATCGATGCATTTTTACTTAATTTTATAATCGGTGTTGAACAGCTAATCTATTCTGGATTTACGACTTTAACAATATTCTCTTTACTGTTAAAAAATTCTCGGAAAATATGGTTAAATAGCAAATTAATTAATTGTTAGTTTACCACATTCAACCAAAACAGTCGAATAATCATTGAAAGGATGGTATTCAAACTGTTAACTGAGAGAAAAATCGTTCACTGATTGTTTTCGCTTAATACGGTTTAGCAACCAGAGTTTTATCCGCGTCATTAAATTCTTGTAGCTGGGTAAATACAGTAGCCGAGAGGGCTAATCTATCAATCTCATTACCGACTGACGGGGGTTCTAATCCCATCGTTGACATCAAAATGTTTCCACTCTCTCAACACTTCAAGAGTTTCCATATTCCTGCACTTTCCGATTGGTGACCCTGAACTATTAGGATACGAAAATGTCATTCCCACAAAGCTGCTCAACTCAATAAAATCTAGTACCTATTTCCAGTTTTTCACGTTAGATGTCACCACCAGATGAACTAAACAAGCCACATTCCACGGCTCATTTAACAAAACATAACTCAGCCACAACCTAACACCTAAGTCCAATGCCTAACATGTCCTAACTTTAACGCTCAAGTAAATTTAATTTATACGGTTTTGAAACCATGCCGTTTCAAATGGTTACGAAAGACTTGTAATTTGGCATTCACAGTTTTTAACCATACCGGTCGTAAATGGTTTCAAAGTCGTTAAGGTAAAGAAACGTTCCTAACCGTAACAATTATGACTAGTTAAAGGGCAGACTGCTGCCGGATATTTTACCGTAATTTCAGAATAATAATTGTGACAGTGCTTCGAATTGTAAAT